GCATTTGATAGCAGGGGGGAGTGTCACTGTGAGTGTGAGTGATCACTGATCATGCAGAGCAGCTAAGGGCAGGTTGGGCAGGTATTGGCCACTGTCTGTCATGAGTTCAATAGTGTTGAAGCAGGTAGTGGCACTCACCTAGAGGGTGGGTTAACAAGTGTGGGTGGGTATGTCTGGGTAGGGTTGCTGGCCCAAAATTGATGGGTAAAGATAGAAAGAGAAAGAAAAAGTGGTAAGGAGAGGTGGGGAAAAAAAGGAAGAGAAAAATAAAACAAGGAGAGAGGGAAGAGGCGAGACCTAAGAAAATAAGAAAAAAAAAAGGAGGAAAAAGGAGAAAAACAAAAAACAAGTGTGGCACAGTACTGGTACAAGCGGAAGCTGTCAAGCATGTCTGTGGTGGAAATACAACAATTACTCCATGGAGCAGTCACCACTGAATACTATGGGTCGGTGCAGCACTATTGAATATGGAGGTGTGGGGGTGGCAAGGGTGAGGTACTCAGTCAGCCAGATTAAAAAGAAAAAGGAGAAAAAGGTGGTGGTGGTGGGGAGAATGGACAAAAAAGAAACAAAAAGGAGGAGAAGAGGAAAGAATTGAGAAGAAGGGAAGAAAGAAAAGAAAATGGGGGGGGGTCGCAGATGCAAGTGTTAGCCATCAAGCACCTACAGCAGAAACTTGAAGCTCACTCCCAGAAGCTCACACCATCATTCATGGAGGGGTAGGAGGGGCTGCTGCTGAACATGGAGGGGATGGGATGGGAACTGAAATTCAAAAAAGGAAGTGAAGAAGAAGAAACAAAAGAAAAGAAAGGAGAGGAAAACAAGGGAGAGAAAAGGAAAGAACTAAGAGGGAAAAAACAAAAGGTGGGGGGGGGGCGCAGAGAGCAGTAGCACCAAACACAGCTGTGCAGTAATGCAACATTAGCTCCATAGAAGCACACACCCCTGACCCTGGGAGGGACAGGAACAGATGCTGTTAACTGCATGGGCATTTGGGGAGAGACTTCCACTCTTCAGGATTAAAAAACAAAAACAGAAAAAAACGAATGAGGAAAAAAGGAAAAGAAAATGGGAGTGGAAGACCGAAGAGCTAAGCAGACATATAAAGGAAAAAGTGGAAAAAAGCAGCCTAACACTGGCAAAAGGGAGAGTTTGACCTGCCTCCGGAGTGGTTGGCAGTGAAAAGGAGTGTGCCTCTGGTCACCAAGAGATTGTGCAAGGTAAGGAGGAAGAACACACTTCTTTGGCTGCCTGATCACTAATGTGGGTGCTCATGCAGTCTTGGGCAAGTGGAACTAGTTATCTGGTTCCTGCTCTGTTCCAAACACTGCTTGCGGTAATTCAAAATGGCCATACTGTTCTTGTTGGCAGTTTACTGTTACTTCTTCACTGTTTTCAGTCAGTCTTTTTCTGTCATCAGTATTTGATCTACTTCTTTGTCCTTTGCTTTGAACCTCTGGGATCCAGGATTGTCATGTAAATCTGTTTCCCTTGTTTATTCAAGTCTTTGTTGTAGAAGGTCTGGATAGTGTATCTGCCTAGTCCATCATCTTAGAACGTCTTATCTGACAAATCTCTTCCCTTGCATTTGAGGGTAAGATTTGACATGGATTTCTCCAGGACAGTTACCTTGGCTTCAAATAAATTGCCATGAGTAGACATCTAATTACTACTCTTCATATATATATATATATATATATACACACACACACACACACACACACACACACATATAGTTATAGTTATAGTTATATATCTCCCTGGAGAAAAGGGAAGGCATTTTAAAAAGTGCCTGACAGGGGGTAGTGTGCCCATGACCACCTATAGGATTAGCAGATGATGTTTCTCTACAGACATATTTGTATGTGTTGTAAGAATGTCCAGGTGTATAGTAGAGCTGACAAGGGACACGGTTGTGGTAAATTCTTGGCCATAACAAGCTACCCAGAGGAAGTGAGTATTTTGACCTATAGGCTCAGAACCACAGTTATAGGGGACATCAAGCTCAATTGGCATAACATACTACACTAAAACATTGTTCTACATCTTACTTTGGTGAGTAAAGACTGGGATTTTAAAAGCTTGCAAGCGGCCATCTAGACACAACAATGGGTCACTCCTCATCCAAAGCAAAGAAGAATGAAGAAAACCAAAGACCCATGGAAACAATTAGTCCAAAGGACTGGTACACCATGTGGTCCTCAGCCTATATGACCATGAGACCAGAAGAACTAGAGGGTGCCCAGCTACTATTGTCAACCATTCAGAGCAGGATCGGAACAGGAGATCCTGGATAGAGTGGGAGAGCAATGTGGAACATAAAATCATAAAAAAAAAAAAAAAAAAAAAAGACCAGATTTGCTGGTCTGAGTCTGGTGAGGCCCCTGAGACTATGTTCCCTAGCTACCCTTCAGATCTGGAATTGAGCTTTCACCTGTGGCTTTCAGCCAAACAATAGACAGGCACATAGGGTAAACTTTTACATCAGGTGGATACACTCCTTGGAGCAATCAGTCATGGGAGAGTAGAAGGACAGTGTTTGCACAGTGAGACAGCTCAGCTGGGGGCTGGAATGTATGGGAAGGAAGGACACAGAGAAGAGGTAACTATAGGAAGAAAGTAGGAAGAGAGGTGTTACATTATGGGAAATTGCAGTCAATGTTATGAGACAAAATGTGTATGAACTGTTGTTTGGGAGATCAATTTGCTCTGTAAACATTCTCCCAAATCACAATAAAAATTTAAAAAATTAAAAATAAAATAAAAAAGTGCCTGAGCACAGACACTTTTAAGTGATGGCTTTTTCAGATATTCTATTTCCATATATTCTCTTTGCTTAAAATATTTTGCTTGACAAGGCACCTGATTTACATCTTTTTTCCTTCTTTTTCATAATCTCATTTCTTTCACTTTACCAAAAAGAAGGTACAGTGATCGATGCCATCTTAACTCATCCCAAGATGCATAAATTTTCACATAGATTTTGATGAAGTTAATGACACCTCTAACTAAGTAAAATACTCTAGCATGAGTCAAGTGGCTTTTAGTTCATTACTTTGACCAAAAGTAAGGAGTAGCCAGTATTATTGATGTTTTATAGGTGATTAAAAACAATTTTTGATAATATATCATCATTATTTTTCATAGTACCAGACTATGATAAAACTGTCCCAATATCATTTTCTAATTTATGTAAACACATTTCTCAAACTTTACATTTACAAAAAGAGAAGAAAGCGAACAGGAGTGGAAATAATGCTAAATGATGCCTCATTCTCATAGTGAAAACATTCATTTTTAGATCCAAATAAAGCCCCATGTACCTCATAAACCAAAAAAAAAAAAAAAAACCTCACTGCCGTCGAGTTAGATCCAACTCATAGAGATCCCTCCTTGGACTTCTGAGAGGGTATCACTATGGAAGCAGATTGCCCAATGTTCCTTCTGAAGAGTGGCTGGTGGGTTTGAACCGTCAGCCTTTTGTTTAGCAGTCAAATGCCTTAGGGACTATGCCACCAGAGCTCTGATGTATCTCATAAAGAGCTGCATTTCCAGTAAAATTTTACTTTTTATATTATCAAAATTTGTTTTATGCTTATTTTCTTTTGATCAGTGGTATACTAAGTATAAAAAAATAATTGAAAGCAGACTATAGTTTTAAAACAATTTTTTATTTATAGTCATTTTTTAAAAATCAAGATTAAATGTATATACCCACTACACAGCATGATGAAGTTATGAAAGATGAATGGAAAGGGAAGAAAATGGAAATGGGAAGGTGTATCCAGACATTCATTGGTAGTTCTATGGTAGAATTCTCAGCTCTCCTATGAGAGACCCAAGTTTGATTCCCATTCAATTTGCCCACGTGCAGCCACCACCCACCTGTCAATGGAGTCTTGAGTGTTGCTATGATGCTGAATAGATTCTAATGGAACTTCTAGACTAAGACTAGGGAAAAAGACCAGTGATCTACTCCTGAAAATAAGCCAGTAAAAATCCTGAGGATAACAATGGAACAGTGTCTGATCTGCAGATGATCATGGGCCTGGTGCAGGACTGGGCAACATTTCATTCCCGAATATGAGTTTGCCATGAGTTTGTGCCAACTTGATGGCTGCTGAAACAACAACAACATCCAGGCCCAATAGTACCAGGCCTGTTTGACAGTGAGTGTTTATTCAAAAACAGGAGCTGATATTCTACTACAGCAGAATGTATTGCTTTTGCTGGGATTAATAAGATTTGAAGCCTGAGCACCGGGAGGTTGCTCATTTTACTCTATGCCTGAATTGAGGTCACTTAGTCATTTGTTCCTCATCCTCAGGATCTCCAGGTGCATAAACTCAGGGAGTGAGGACTACTGAATGGTGAGTTGTGGAGAGAGTCTGGTTCCTTACAGAATGGGAGATTGCTTCGTAAGTAAATCTAGCATATAATTTATTGCTCAAACAAAGAAATTTTGAGAGCAAAAGGGGGCACTATTAATAACAATGCTGAGGAAAACAAGTGTAAGCATGATGATCTAGGGCTACCTGCAAGGATGCTTATCTTACTCATATGCATGTTCTTGAATGATCTTTTTTTTTTTTTTTTTTAATTAGGAGATATTCTTAAGCCCCATATAGCCTATAAAAGTTGAAATGTGTTTTATTTCAATTATCATTAAATCTGAAGCCTTTACTATTAATTCAGTCAGGTTTTTTGCTAGAAATTTTGAGTAAATAAGGAAAAGAAAAATTCCTGACTTCTGTCCTCAGCTTCATCATATCTGGCAGAAAGATATGCACATGTATGCACACAAAGACACATACACCGGTAAAATGTGAGATGGACAGAGCTTAGGGATGACTTTTATGATCCAGATTCAAGCCTGTGGCAAAAGTTTGAATCATTCATCCTTATTCCTCCTAAAAATGCCCAATGTAGAACTTTGCCCATAGCAGAAATACCATCAGGATTTCTAGGCTGATTGAAAATTCCTGTACCCTTGGAGTGATTTAGAGAAATTCCCTCCTACAGGAGAACAAAGTAACAATTCCCTGTCTGATGGGATGAGTCTTAACGCTATAGACGATGGGGTTGAGCACAGGAGGTACAAAGAGGTAGATGCTAGACATGAGTGTGTGGAGCATGGGTGAGGCATGCTTGGCAGCACGATGCATCACAGACACACCAATCATGGGCACATAGTACACAAGCACTGCACAAATGTGTGACACACATGTACTGAAGGCCTTCCGCCTGCCCTCTCCAGAGGCAATGCCCAGCACTGCGTAAAGAATAAGCATATAAGACACCACAATGAGCAGTGAGTCCAGCCCAAAAGTGGCCAGGACAATGGCCAAACCAAGGATGCTGTTGAGTTTAGTATTAGCACAAGGCAGCTGAAGCAGGTCTGAATGGAGGCAGTAGGAATGGGAGAGGATGTTAGTGTGGCAATAGGGCAGTTGCCTCAAAAGGACCGGTAGGGGTGCCATGAGTACCACACTCTTCAGTGTAATGCCAAAACCCATGGAGATGATACGAGGCCAGGTCAGTATAGCTGTATACCTCAGTGGGCTGTAGATGGCTACAAAGCGGTCATAACTCATGGCCAACAGGACCCCTGACTCCATGCAGGAGAAGGTGTGAATAAAGAACATCTGGGCCAAGCAGCCATCAAAGTCAACCTGGCGCACATAAAACCAAAGGATGCCCATAACAGTGGGTAGTGTAGATATGGAGACGCCTATCTCAGTGATGGCCAACATGAAGAGGAACAGATACATGGGCTCATGTAGGGCATGGTCCACCTGTACTACAGCCATGACTAAGCTGTTGCCCACAATGGCTATGATGTACATGGTGAAGAAGGGGATGGAAAGCCAGCCGTGGTGAGCTTCTAGTCCTGGGATTCCAGTCAGGAAAAAGGGTAAAAGGTCAAGGCTGACATTGCCCTTAGCCCCCATGTCACCAATAATATAGACTAGTTGTCACCTGTCATTTGAAGAAAAGAAACAAACAAAACTGAAGTTAGTTCCCACTTATAGTATCTTCTGTCTTCACAGCCCACCACAAAGGCTGAGAGGGAGACGAGGGGAAGTCATAGGTGATGGAGTCATTGACCTCATTCTGGGCAAAAATAATCATCCCTCATCATCTATGACAGAACCTTTTTTCCTCCTGTTCTGTGTTCCAAACTCCTAAAATGTAATATGGAAGGGATATTTGAGCCTGCTCAATCTCTATGGGTGACAACATAGGTTAAAAACTAAGCACAGAAACTTTGGCACAAATCAGACTGGGGTCAAAATCCATGTTCATACAGTTAGTAGATGTGTGGGCAACTTATTTATACTCTGATACAAAGGTTTTTTTTTGTTTTGTTTTACATGAAAAATGGAATTAATAATACTATGGTTCTCTTCTTTTAGTATAAGAAATAAGTAAGATAATTAATATCGTATGTGTAGTGTTTTAAAGTTCTGAAATGGCTTCCAAAGACTTTCATTTGAATCTCAATTGGCAGTTTATTCTCTGTGTGACCTAGAACAGGTAACTTAACCTTCCCAAGCCTCAATGTCTCCACCTATAAATTGGGAATAAAAATATCTTCACCTGATAGTGTTGTAAACAAAATATTGTATATCTATGAAACACTTCATGTTGTTGTTGTTATTATTTGCCATCAAGTCAGACCTGACTCATAGCAACCCCTCCTTGGATTTCTGAGGCAGTATCACTATGGGAATAGATTGCTTAACCTTCCTTCCGAGGAGTGGCTGGTGGGTTTGAACCACCAGCCTTCCGGTTAGCAGTCAAGTACCTTAAGCACTATGCTACCAGAGCTTCTATGAAGCACTTAATGAATATACACTGTTTAATTCATAGGGAGACACTAAGATCTGGAGAAAAAAGTGAGTAATGTACGCAAGGCTTAACAGTCAATTTCTGCAGAGCCTGGAGTATGGCTTAGATCCACTGACTCCTCTTGTAGTGATGTTTCCATTCCACTGTGCAGTTGGGCATAAATCCCAGTCTCATCTAGGATGAAGTCATTAGGGAAATGTGAGTTTGGTCTCTGCTAATATGGGTCTGAGTAGACAAGAATACATGGAAAAGTGATATTTTTCATGTTGAATTAAAGAGAGATTGTAGTTTCACAAAGCAGAGAAGGGAGAAATATGAATATGAGTAGTGAAGAATATTGGCATTCCAGGTGAAATCCTGTGTATCCTAATACACAAGTCACCTTTGAGTTTAAAAACAGTAACCAGAGAGGATATTGAATACACATGTGGCTTCAAAAAGAAAAGATTTGATCTAAAATCCATGAAGAGATCAAAGACACAGAGCTAAAAGATTCTATTCATTAGTGGTCAAGAGATGAGAGAAAAATAATTAATCCCAATCAAGATGAAAGTATAATGTAATCTGATAACAGTGAAGTAGGTAGGTGCACTCAAGCTAAAAAGCTGAATTATTTCTAATCATCAGTTCACTCATCCATGCAACAGACTGGGATGTATGATTGGCTAATTCTGTGGTTACCCACTGTTGATGTGAAATGCTCTCTGTATATAAAGAATTTAAAGAGAATGCTCACCTTAAGTGGATAGGCAGTAGGGTAAATTGCAAAGCTAAGATGTCAGAAGCTATGGCTAGGACACAATTGCACTGTGACACTGAATATAGACCCAGAACCTCTTCCGGGTCTTACTCTTCACTCTCCGGCCTCTGTTCATGCACTCACTCTGCTGAAACCCTGCACATTCTATCTCTGCACTTCCCTTAAGATTAACAACTTCCTTGACAGGTGAAATATGCTTCCTAGTTCTTTACCCATTAATTTATCTTGTTTCTGCTCCCCGGTGGTATAGTCGTTAAGGCATTCAGCTGCTAACTAAAAGATTGGCAGTTAGAAACTACCAGCAACGTGGGAGAAAGGTGAGACAATCTGCTTCCGTAAAGGTTTACAGCCCTGGAAACCCTGAGGGCCAGTTCTACTGTATTCTTTGGGGGTGCTATGAGTTGGAATCAACTTGACTTGATGGCAATGAGTTTGTTTCGTTGTGGTGGTGGTTGTTGTTTGTTTCTTTAGTGGAGCTTTGTCTGTAGGTCAGTAAGTAGCTTCGAGGCCACAGGGAACATAAAAGAATATTACTCTTTTTGTAGAAAATCTATATGAAAATGAGATTTGGAGTTTTGTTTTCTTTTTGTTTTTGTCTTAAACCTCTCCATAATAGGACAAACAAGTCTCAATAAATATTCAAACACATGTAGACAGTGACAGAGACTCAAATACAGAAACACAGTAAAGGAAACTGAAAGTATCATACAGAGGCACAAACAAAATGTAGAATTGAAACACATTTCTCAGATACACATGTAGAAAACACAAACAGATTCAAACTGACCTCAGAGAGCTATATGAAGTGACAGTTGCAGGGGCAGTCAGAGGGTTAGCATTCACAGTGAGTCTAGAATGAACCTCTTGCCAGCACAGAGCAAAACCAGTAGTCAAACTTTATTCATCTGAGTGAGAATTCCCAAAGGTCAGATCCGGTGGGACCCTAATTGTCCTGAGTGAGATGCTGTTGTGGTGATGGGAAAAGGAGGGAATCTAGAGTTTACCTAGGGAATAGAAGGGGGGGGGGCACTTCCTTGGAGAAACTACTTTCTCCCCAGAGGGAAAATGAAATTTCAACTCTTTCTTGTGATGTAAAAGAGGATGGAGAAAAATGTCTCCAAGATTCATAGCAGTACAGTTTATCTAAATTACCCTCCTCTAAACAGCAACTCTGAACCCAGATCCCAGTTTTGAACGTATAATACAAAAATCCAAGGCAGAATCTAAATCTTAGAGTCCATTAGGAAAATTGTAGAGCTCAGGTTCAAGAGCCCAGAATTTGGAAATGGAGTCCTCCCCAGAATTTAGGTAATATGAAGACAAGAACATAGCTACCTATCACACTGCACAGGGTTTATCCATTTTTCCCTACTGTATTTTACTCAGTTCCTACCATCTATCCTCTAATCCTCCATCAAGTTCCACAAAATGAGAGTCTCTTCCAAGACAGATAATCTAGATACTAAAAGATTCCAGGGTTCAAAGTCACACAAACCTAGGTTTGAGTCCTGGCTATGCAGCCTTCTAGACTCATGACCTTTCAAACTGGAACTGAATTTGTGAGAAGGATGAGAGATTTGCATGAAAAGACAGACGTGGCAGTGTTTTTACTATTTTTCTTTAATGTTAATGCAGCTCATGTGATTATCGTAAATCTGCTGCAGGTCCCAATTCAGCTCCACTAACCCAGCTCTTTTCCTAAACACCTGGTGATGTCATTTCATCTTACCTCTTCCTTGTTTTACTTTCAAGTACAGCAAGGTGCAGTGAAAGAAGGAATAGTTAGGAGAGTTCTCTTCCTGTTCTATCAAGAAGTGAGATGAGCTAAGGAAGCAGAGAATGGAGATAGAGAAAGTTTTCCATCCCCTTTGTGGACCTCTGAGATAAAATGGGGCATCTCAGAAGGTGAGCTTGAGATGAACTACCTCTGCTCTTTTTCACTGTTGTAGGGTTGGCTGGGTCAGAAATAATGAGTTGGGAACAAGGAGATGTAACTCAGGAAAATAGGGATAGTAATCTTGTGAGTAAGGTCACAAAATTATGGGAAAAGAGGGGGACCTAATAGTGCCTCAGATTGGGCATAGAGTGAGAAAGGTAGATAGATGTTAGAGAAGTTATAGGATGAAATCACAATAGCTATCTATCACCTCTGGACTTCTTCAACTGTTAAATAATTGACAAACTTTTCTCAAACTCATGGTGTGAAGAAAAAATGAAGTTGCAGATATGAAAGGACTTGGGAATAGTTAATATGCCTTATGAATATTTGGGATGATTTTATTATAACAAGTTGCCGTTGAGTCTGTTCCAACTCACGTTGATCCCGTGTGTGTCACCATGGAACTATGCCCAATAGGGTTTTCAATGGCTGTGATCTTTTAGAGCAGATTCCAAGGCCTTTCTTCATAGGAGCCTTTAGATGGATTCAAATCACCAGCCTTTCAGTTACTTGCCAAGTAAATTTGTACCACTCAGAGACTAATCTTATTATTATGCAGAATGAAGTCATAGTCATCCAAAGCTTATTTGGCTATCATAGTGTCTAATTAGAACTGGCTTCATGGGCATGTGACCTTTGCAATCACATAGGTACCCACACACTGAAAGTGAAACCAAGTGGAGTCAAAGTTCAATCTGCATCCCCAGTTGGAAACAAATAAGTAAATATAATAACTCAGTTTCTTAAGAGCTGAATAGGATGAAAGTTCAACTATTTCCCCACCCTGATCAGGACAGATAGGACCCTGGTTAGAAACAAATAAGCAAACATAATAACTCAGCTCCTTAAGAACTGAATGGGACCAAAAGTCAGTTTGCACATTCTATTCATGCTATTTCCCCTAGGAACAGGTGATAAGCACACTAATGTGTCTCAGGAGACAACTTGAAAATTAACCTTGGCCCATGGACATGTGCAGTGAGAAAAACAGGAACAAAGTTGCTGGGAAATGACATTCTCCCCTCTGCCTAAGTCCCGATCAACTGATGACAGGAAGCTGGTGTGACTCATCCAGTGCACAAGTGCACTGCATTAAAAAATGATGGTCCCTTTCAACCGAGGCAAAGGAAATTTCAGCCAGTCACCAACTATTTCTGAAATTTTTATGAATATGTATAACCTTCTCTACTGAAACTTAAAAAAACTGTAATTCGATTTAGATTCGGGGAGTCAGATTTGGGTAAAGACCCCTGTCTCCTTGCATTGCCGCTTTGCAATAAAGAATTTTCTCTCCTCTTAATCACTCGGTGTATAAACTGTTTTCACCTGACTGCGTACCAGGCAGGGACCCACCTTAGGTCTGATTTCAAAAGGCCCTGGACTTGGTTTGGTACTCTGCTGTCTCTATCTTGAAATTCTTAGTAATTTTCAAACAAGTTATATTTATTTTGCACTGAAACCTATATTTTATATAGGCAGTCCTTACCTGGTATGAAGTAGGCTCAAAATACATGATAGTTATTATAACCACTGTGGATGGACATCATGCTTGGTAAAGTAGAGAGAAGGTCAACAAAAAAGAGGGCATCCCCATGAAAGATAGATTGACAGAGTGAGCTGAAAGATAACTATGATTGTGAGGATGACAGGCAATGTTTCGTTCTGTTATATGTAAAGTCATTATAACTCAGAGCTGACTCAACAGCATCTAAGAACAACACCGATCTTTTTTATAATCATTGTATGCCTCCGGTTCTCACTGTCTTACACATAGCCATGTTCTGGTCATGCTCTAAGCTCTAAAAATATTTCTATCAATTGACATGAACAAATCCTTGAGAAACTCAGAATATCTGCAAGAATGGATCTAGCCTTCAAATCCTCTTACCTGATCCTCCAACTCATTGTGACAACAAACTGAATTCCCCCCCCCCATAAGATCTATTTGCCTAGAGGGCAGACTTAAACTTGGGATTTGTCCAAAATTTGGATATCAGATAAATTTGGATGGCAAGATGTGGAAATTGGGGAAAAAGAGGGAAATTATCTCATGGGGCCACAGTCTCATAGTAATTGTGGGATGGCTGGAGATTGCAGATGAAAATCTCTTTGAAACTATTTGAATTCTATCTGCACAGCTTCTTAGAGAGCATAAACCTTTTAGCTTGTTTTTCTCTTCATTACCAACACCATCTGCCAAGTTATGATGCACTCAGTTTTCCACAGCTTTAAAATTCATCCACAATCTGATTTAGGCAATCTCTCAAGATCTTTTTTCTCAAGCTTCTCAAAATGAAATCTCCCCTTTGTCCAAATAAAGTTATTTGCAGTTTTCTCAAATATTCTAGACTAGTGTTTTTCAAACTTCAGCATACATTCTAATCACTTAGAGGACTTGTTACAGTACACATTGCTAGCCCCCACTCCCCAGATTTTCTGGTTCAGGAAGTCTGGGAAGAAGCCTGATAATTTGCATGCCTGACAAGTACCCATGGGATACTTATGATGCTGATCCGGAAACCACACTTTGAAAACTACTTTTCCAGACTCTTGTTATTCTTTGTGTGATGTATGGGTTGGCAGATTGACAATACCTGGAAGATGTTAGAATAGTGAAACGCTGTGCTTTGAGAGCTTTAATATGTATACAGATCATTCAAAGTTCTCATTAAAGTGAAGTGGGATTCAGTAGGTCTTCTGTGAGGCCTAAGATTATGTTTTTCTTGTAAGCTACCAGATATGTTTATGCTATTATGCCGTGGACCACTCTAGGAGTAGCTAGGTTCTAAACCTTGCTGCCTAAATGTCTCTTCCCAGGCAGTCCTTCTGCCAAGATAATTGTCCTCCCTTCTACCTGCCACCCTTCACCTAGTTATCTAATCCCTTCCATCCTTGAGTAACTGTATCAGAAACACCCAACAAATTCTTTCCTGATTTTCCCAAACCAAAAGGGCATGCTTTCTCATGTAAAACCACCTTCATAGCATTTTGTTCGGTTCTACTGTTTATTATTTCCTTCACTCCAGGTGGTAGTAGAATTATTTGTTTTCAAGCTTAGTTTCCCTGCAGGACTTCCATTATTCCATAAAAGCCAAAAAAACTTTTCTCATGGCACCCATTGCTCTTTTATAGTTTTCTTTTTTCCTTGACATGTCTATTTCCTTACATGTACTTATATGACATGTACTTAATAATACATTTTATGCACTATTATAACACTCAACAACTAGTACAATGATTTGCACATAATCCAAACACTAAACCAGTTGCCATGGACTAAATTCTGACACACAATAAATGTTCCATAAACATGTGCCATTGATCTGAACCAAATGTATTTTTATTAGTCTTGCATTCACAACTACTCATTGTTTCATCATTCCTAAAGTTGGCAAACAAGTCCCAGTCCTTTCTCCAAAGGAGTTCTCTGAGGGTCTTCAACTTTGCTCAGTTCTAGGACTTCTGGAAAACCTTGAGTATCCCCCTGCGAATCTCCTTGGTCTTCACACTGTAGATGATGGGGTTGAGCATGGGAGGTACAAACAGGTAGACATTGGACATCATGACATGAACAACAGGTGGAGCACTTTTCCAGAAGCGGTGGATCATGGAGACAGCAATTATAGGCACATAAAAGGCCAGCACTGCACAAATATGTGACATGCAGGTGTTAAGTGCCTTGAGCCTCTGCTCCTGAGATGCGATGGCCAGCACAGCTCTTAGAATCAGTGCATAGGAAAGCAAGATGAAAGTTGAGTCAATGCCATACGTTAAAATGACCACAAAGAGTCCATAGATGTTATTAACATGGATGTCTCCACATGCCACTTTCATAAGATCTGGATGGAGACAATATGAATGATGCAAGACATTGCCCTTGCAGAATGGCAGTCGTTTCACTAGAAAGGGAAAAGGGAAGAGGGTGATGAAACTCTTGATCAGGATCCCCAGGCCCATGGCCAAGATGCGGCTATTGGTGAGCACTGTGGCATAGTGTAGTGGGTCGCAAATAGCCACAAAACGATCAAAGCTCATGGCCAGCAGTATACCTGATTCCATGAAAGAGAAAGTGTGGATAAAGAACATCTGGACCAGGCAGGCATTGAAGCCAACATGGCAGTAGTTGAAGCAGAAGGTGGCAAGCACCGTGGGAAGTGTAGAGAAGGACACTCCCAGGTCATTGAGAGAGAGCATAGAGAGGAAGTAGTACATGGGCTGGTGAAGAGCAGGCTCCCAAACCACCAGAGTGAGAATGCTGAGGTTGCCTATGATGGAGATCAGGTAGAGGATGCAGAAAATCAGGGCAACCCATGCTTGGCCTGTCTGTATCCCAGGAATGCCTGTCAGCTGGAGTGTAGCTGGCTGGAAGGGAGTGCCATTAAAGCTCCACATCGTAGGCAAATGGGAGAATACAGAGTGGGTATAAGCCCAAGAAGTTGTGTTGGGGGAGATCTTCAGTTTCTTTCTTTCAAATATCCTGTGTCCAACACAAAAGGTCAGAGATTGAAAGTGTTTATCTATCTTCCTGCCTAGGAGCTCTTTGAGGCAGTGTACTGTCTCAGCCGTAGTAGAGACTCTATGAAATCTGATGATAGTGAGTACCCATACCATGGCAATGGAAAAAGGTACACACAAACATTATCCAAGTTTCCTAATCCTCACTTTCAACTATAGCATCTTTACAATTCCACATCTCACCCAGAGCTCTAGTCTTGGGTTTTGGGGAAAAAATAAAAGTTAGGTTAGATGGGATAGATGCCCATGCTTCTGGGAGTTCTTCTGTATATGTCACAGATGGAACTTCTATAGTTGCAAAATTACAGTTCCAAAAATCTTTCTCCAGACCTCACTTCAGACTCCCAATAGCTTGGTCACATCTGGACTTGTCATCACCAAAAACTAATCCTCTAAAATCTTATATTTCAATTTCTCACTCTCTAACCACTGCCTTCTCCCTTTTTCTCATGTCCACGTACTTGCTTTCCTGCCTCCATAAATTCCTCCATTATTTTTCTGCTTTATCAGTCTGTGAGCTCTTCTTTCTTTCTCACTCTCTTTCCTAAACCTACTCCCCCAATAAGACCAGTATTTTTATCTCCTGTTTCCCTATCTTTCACACTCACTTTATAAACCCCTGCCTTTGATAATTTCTAAAATTAAGGAAGATGTGCAGCTGAATAAAACCAAGGAAGCAAGTATTTATTTATTTGTTTGTTTGTTTATTTCTATTTTATTTATTTTAAAGGGAAGACTGCCTACTTCCAGTTACCTCAAAGCATGTTTATTCATTTTTACCCTTGTAGTATCTGAGGAGAGGAGTCCTTGTGGTGAAATGGCTAAGTGCTGTGCTGCTAACTGAAAGGGCAGCAGTTGGAACCCACCAGCTGCTCCACAGAAGAAGTGGCAGTCTGCTTCCTGTAAAGACTGCAGCCTTTGAAACTCTGTGGGGCAGTTCTACTCTGTCCATTAGGGTCACTTTCAGTCAGAATCTACTCAATGGCAATGGGTGGTATCTGAGAAAGTACTGTCTGTTCTTCAAGGCCACACCTTCCACCTTCAGAATTCTGTATCTTGCCACTTCTCTCACAAACCTCTTTCATCAGTCCACTGGATTGTATTTTCAACCTCTCCCTTCTTCTTTCTTTTACTCAGCTAATAGCATATGTGATATCACCTAGGAAACCCAAGGAGGGGTCTTAGGGACCCAACAGCACACAACAACAACAATAGCATATGTAAGACCCTCCCATCATTAAAAAAAAAAAAAAAAAAAAACCTTCTCTCTTTAACTACTGCTATGTTACCCTTTCCCTATTCTCAAACTTCCTGAAGTATTTTTTTCAGATGCCAAAGGGATATTTGTAATTTACCTGTTTGGTTATCTATTTCTCTAATATCTCTGCAACTGTCTTTCCAGTATTTCAAAATTAAAGCTCCATTCTGGAATTTAGGAATAATGATCCTCTCATCTCTGCCTTTTCTAAGAGCTTCAGTCCCCTTCCTAGCTTTCTTAAGTAAACAAGGTCATATTAGATGGTGATAAGAAGCTGAGTAATTCCCACAAATCTGTCAAATCCTGAAGTCATATTGGTGGTAACAAGGATATTTCTCTATTCCAATGGTTTCTCTGGGAGCTCTGGTAGTGTAGTGCCTAAGGCACTTGACTGCTAACCAGAAGGCTAGCGGTTCAAACCCACCAGCCATTCTTCTGAAGGAAGTTGGGGCCATCTACTCCCGTACTGCCTCGGAAACCCAAGGAGGGGTCGCTATGTGTCAGGTCTGACTCAACGGCACATAACAACAACAACAACAATGGTTTCTCTGGCTTCTCACTGAGATTGCAAAGCACTACTTTTATTAGTAAGATTTCTTGTTCCTTAAGCATCTTTCTAAGCTTCGCTCTGCCTCCCAATCCAGATTTAAAGTCAAGGACTCCAAGAAGCCTAGCTTAGATTCAGTTTGGATTCAGCCTGTCCAGATCTGCTTTTCTTTATAACCATTTTCAGTAAAAATTTATCTCTCATTCTGAAGAAATGGAAAAATTCTTAGAGGAACCAACAGAAATTAAGTACTCTCCCACAGGCTAGATTGACCCTGAAAACAGAAATAATAATAACAATAATAATACCATTGCCTCCAGTCAATTCTGATTCATAACGTCCCTACAAGGCAGAGTGAAACTGCCCAAGGGGTTTCCAAGGTTGTAATCTTTAAAATTTAAGCCATCAACCTTTTATTAGCAGCTGAGCACTTTAATCACTGTACCACCAGGGCTCCTTCTAGGTTTATGCTGAGGTCCTTAAACTCTATTGTGCAAATTTATGTACTCTAGAAGAAGATATTTCATCCATGCTACAAATTTTCTGCAGTCTGGAAAGTAATTTTGAAAACTTTTTCTAGTAGAACAATGCCCCACCTCCACCCTACAACCAGCTTTCCTTTGCTGTGACCATGAGGGAATCAGCTAAAGCTTCCTAAATGTAAACAACCTGGGAAGAAAAGTCAGGGAGATGGAGATTGACACAAGTAATACAATCCTCTCACAGAGCATGCGCATGAACACACACACATAAACACACACATTGTGGCTCAAAGGCAAATACACACGCTTAACACATACACACATGTACATACTCAGGTATTCAGAGGCACTGCACATCCATACGCAGAGAAAGCATCACACATTCACCTGCTCATCCGTAAACACTACTACAGCTACAGAATTCGAGAAGACTCATACTTACTCACCGGTATTAACCAAATATTTAAAATATCCTCCCATCTTATACTCTCCTGAGCACATACATAGTTATAAACACAAATACACACACACACACACATATACACAGAGCCACAAATGAATCAGCATTAACAGGCCTACAGTAATATTCCAACAATTACATTCCCATGACATACTTGATACTGAAAATCCAGCCATGATTGAAAACCATGTTGATTAACTTCAGTTCATTTGGTTCTATGATTTTTCTCCAGCTGCAACTAGGGTTTTAAAAAGACAATACCTATGTCTAATGCATCAGCTTCTTAGCCTAAGAGTACGTGGTCTGGAATTAGGGTTTTGATTTAGATGAGACCTTAGCTTCAGAATTAATGATTCTGGGCTTTGGAAGGGGACATACTTGGCTCATGTTTGGAAGAGAGCTATGAAGGTCACGGTCTGCCTCCGGTGGCAGTAATAGTGCTGAGGTATGAGATAAGGTCTAGATTAAAGAGTCCGGACAGGCAGTCTGAAGGAGGGTGTACTCACTGGATGGAAAAATGCTTCTTTTCCCTGTCGCTGGATGTACTGTTCTTTGAGTCTAGCCAGCAGAGCAGCATCATATCCTTCTCCCATGAATCATGAATATTATGAATACCCCAGAATCCCAAGGCTTGTTTTTATGTGACTGGGGGAGGAGGAGGAGAAATAAGGAAGAGGGTGAAGGAAGGGAGCAGTGAGCTGGAGCACAGGAGAACTGCCCTCAAGGGAATTCTGCTGTTGGCCCCATCATCCCTGACCTTATCACCCATATCAATTATTATGTTAATCCTTCTTTGATCAGGCATGTACATGCCTTGCACACATGTATTCACACACACATTCACAGTCATAGACATTCTGAGATCCTTGCAGATTTATCCTGAGACACATTCAGCTGTTCATTTACTAACACACTGCCTCTTTTAAATTCACACACATACAGATTGACACAAATAGATTTCATGCAACTTACCAATACTCAAGTAACTAACCACATATCTTGGCATTTCAAACATATAAATTGTGCATTCTTTCATTAACCATCATTATTTATTTAGAATATAAACATAATTTTAGAAAGACACAATTAGAGACTAATACATATACTTGAAGAATTTCAAATATATTCTCATACTCATTTATCCCAAAGCACATATTTCAAACACATACCCACATCCTCATTAACAACTCAACCAAACATCCAACCAATCCATAGATTTCTACATATAATTTAAATATATTATGCATTTTTGTACAAATGTATGTCAGCATCCATGTAAACATGTATTCTTTGCAAGCATTCATTTTACTCCACAACTCCAAGGAGTCTGAAAATAATAAACTTAGTTCAGTTTGTGAATCATATAAACTGAACTTAGTTCAGTTTAACTAAGATCAAACAAACAAATGAAAGAAAAACACATATTTTTAAACTCTTATTTTGTTATAGGTATTATACTCATCACTGAAGGTATTCCAGTGAATAAGACACAGAACCTATCCTTGAAAAACTGAGTCACCCAACTGTCCAGACAAATATGCCTCTAGACCTTAACTAGAAATACATTATAAATATATTTCACAACAAAAACAACATATTTGTTTTGGTTACCTCTGTGCTGTTCTAACAGAAGATACCACAAATGGGATGGCTTTAACAAACAGGAGCTTATTCTGAGAATTTTGGAGGCTTTGAATCTGAGTTAAAAGTGCCAAGCTGTAGGGGCAGTGTGAAAGCCCCTCTACCTTGGGCTTCAGCTCTGCCTTTTTCTCCAGGCCCACTGAAGCTAGAGGCATCTCTTCACTCAGGCAGCTACTGGCTGCTGAAGCTAAAAAGACCAAGGCTGACAAGTAAAATGGCACAGTCCCAATGTTACCAAACAACACAGCAGGCCTTTGACTCAAGTCCACTGAAAGTCCCAAGATTGGTAGAGCATGGCAGGTTGCTGAACAATGACTCGGCTACATGCAGGATTCGTGCATGCCATAAGCTAGAGACCATTCCCAAAGCTGTTTCTTGTGTATGGGATGCAGACTATATCCCTAAAGCAGCTACTCAGCTGCTTGTGGTAGATCTAACCATGGAGTTGATTGCCAGTATCATCTTGGGGAATAACTACAACCAGCTGCC